ACTTAAAGACTAGTAGGTGTGTACATCATGATTTCGGTAATTTAGAATTTTGGAATGAACTAAATATAAATGTTATTATTCTTAATCTTGAGTACTATAATCAAATATAATAAACATATTCGTTTAAGTATTGAAAATTGTTAGTTATCAAATATGTTTGTATATGTACACAGAATTTTACTAAGTACTTAAACTAACTGCTATTAAGGCAGGTATTGTTGTTTCTACTATATCCATCAGTAGTATTTGTAAAGATATAATAAATTAAAAAAAATCTAATTTAGAATATAATTCGTACAAAATACTAGCGATAAAATATAGAAATGTATTTTTTCAATATTATTTTGTTTTTTCTTAACACCATAAGCCTTAATAAATTATATACAATGGACTTAATGTTAATTGAGTAAAATTGAAAAATAAAATATCAACTACCTAATATTTTATACGCTTAGAATATTTTGTAGCTATTTTGTTAACATTTTTTTATAATATCAGGACAACATATTAGTATTTAATCCATAAACAAAAAAAAAAAAAAACATTCATTTGAGGCTCAAGCGTTAACGTCCTCTTTGTGTTTTTGGACCCACAATAAAGCGAACGGAATAATATAGAGTTCGAATCGTTTTTTAAATTTATTATAACACAAAAATTACATTATACAGTTATATATTTTATTCTCAAATTTGAAGCACGTATTTTATACATAAAATTAAATATTATTATGAACATTTTAATTAATGGGATGCGATGAAATTTATCTTTATCTACATGCATGTAATAATATTATATTGGGAAACAAAATAAAAAAACCACAGTAGATATTTCCACACCAAACCATACCTACACATCTTCTTTGTTGAGTAATGAGACTATACAATATTGTACTCTGTCATTCTGCGTGTAAAACGTTTTAGGTACCTGGCTATATTAATTTTTACTTTTTGAAATTGCCTTTATATTTGACGAACATAGGAAATATGATTTTTGTTTTTTAAGGCTATATTTATAAGCAAAATATCAAGTGATTATTTCAGGAAATATAAATCAAATAATTCATTTTTGATAAATAATTACTTACATTTAGAAAACAAAATTAGAAATAATAATTAAAACATAGCAATCTTACTATCGTTTACACCCATACAGAGTTTTAAATTTCATTATTAATCAGACATCATAGTTATTTGATTTATACCTGCGGACCAAAATGTTTAGAAAATAACGCATTTTATTATTATTAAGCATCACTTAACAATAATATAATTGTGAACATTTTCAAAAATTAAGTTTATTCCATATTGATATACGAAAATACATTAAGGAAATTCTAGAGTGTCTACTACGTGTTTTATAAACAAAATAACTAAACTAGTCTCGAAATAATCACTTGTGCTTTTTCATCCCGTATTTATTTTTATACAACTTTTATTTTTAAGTTTTTTTACTTAATATTAAATTTATAAAATACACCAAATAACATAATATAATATTACGTTATTAATTAAATTTGTGATTTTAATGTTTGTTCTATCGTTCAGTCGATACTCTTTTTGACTCCCATACTATTTTCTGATACATTTTATTTAACAACAATAATCATTATAATAAATACAATCACAATAACATGATTAAAAACAGTATAGACAATTTGAATTATTCACTTAGTGGGATGTATTCTACGGGGATGTATGAAATATGATTCTGTTATTTTTGGCATTTGCGTAAGCAAATAAAGGTTACACCGAAAAACCAACATTCAATGGATGTAAACATTGTGATGGGATACGTGATCGGCAACACGGATATTTCACATCACCGGAATAGCCTTTTATTATTTGTGTGTCTCTAAGGATCTATAGTGTGAAATGAACCTAAACAAATTGGTTACCTATCTCATGGTTTTCGGAAAATTAATTTTCTACATATATACCAGTAAAAATGCAAAATATTTTTTAAATGTTTCTACTCGTTATTGTTTGTATATTATTTCATCTAGAAACTGTGGAAAATTTTCAAAACGAAATAAAGAAATATAATATGATTTTTATTTGGGTTGTTATTATTATTATACAAATAAACCAACACCACAAAAATATAGTGACGTGTTTCGCATGAATAAGTGTTAACCATTTTATATTTCACTAGGATAATATATTGTAGAACTTAAGCAAATAAACAACTGTGATATAACTGGTCGGATAACATGTATAATGCACATAATATATATATATATATATATATATAAATTATATAGGCAATTTAAATTGTAAAATAATACATTTTTTACCCGTCATGTCCCGCACTGTTATTTGATGTATATTGTAATCCTTAATAAAAATGTTATTTAATTATGATAATAATTTATCATAATTCCGTTTATAATTTATGAACACCAGTCAGAATAAGTTCGAGATTCATTATTATGAACATTTTTTTGCAACATAGTACATACCTACAACAAATTACTAAACCAGATTTGAGAAAATTAATGGTCATCATGCAATTAATGAGTATTATAATAAAACATTATTTTGAATTAATAAATTAACGTAGCGTCTAACTTGTTCACCGAATGGTTTTGAATATATTTTGGTAATTTTTCGTATTTAAATATAATATAATATATTTTAGCTCTGAATTTAATGAAACTAGACAATCAAATTCCAAAATGTTTTTTCTTTACTTGTTTATATTTTAAGTGGGTGTCGTAATTGTTATTACTTATTATAATAATCATTCATTTTTGTAATTAAACATCTCCATAAATACTGTATAATTAAATATATATATTAATTTTGATTGTCTTTGTTTTTATATACAAAATTAAAATATTAAAATAAAAAAATATGGATTGTTTAATGTTAAAAAACAATAGACTTATAATTATAAAATATAAATTTTAAAATGCAAGATAGGTAGGTACTTTTTGACTAAAAATGACTAATCAATTTTAATTTTAAATTAATGTATTATATTATTATTTTCTAATTAGTTGGGAAAATAAATGTTATTAAAGTTAATTTGTATAATTCGATAACTTAATAGTTTTTAATAAAGTATCCGTATAAATGAAAACTACCAATTTGGTATTTCATGGACTGAAATATTTATAATATGTTTTACATGTATCAACCAAATATATATGTACTTAGTGAATACTAGTAAATAATTTATTTAAAACTCGTACCACCTAATATATGCCTTAAAAAAATGTCAATGTTACAATAATATATATTTAAACATTATTTAATTATATATTTGTTGTTTATTTTGTACACTGCGATTGTATATGTTATTATTTTTGTGTAATGTGTTATTAGAAAACTGAATTCCAAGAATTTCCCAAAGTAGAACCATATCCGATATAGAATATAAAAACGTGCAATTTATCTAAGTGCACTCAGGATTTTTCATAATATACCTATATTAAAATACATTCTTAATATGAGTTCATACTGACACTAGCTTCAAAACTCCAATACTTGCAACTTTTCTTATACGAAAAATAACACGTATAGTTCAATAATATTATTTTAAAATATTTATTTTGTATTTTAATATATTATGTATTTTTGAAATATTATGTTCCTATTTTATTGGATACCCGGAACTAATATTTAATATAATAAAATAGGTTCTTGTTATTTGATAATATCTATTAGAATATCGTATGAGGGTAACTAGGTAAAATTGATTTATAATATTAATTTTAAATTGCTATTAATAAATTTTACCCGTGTTAAATAATATATTCAAAGTTTTAATATGGAATTTGAATACCTAGGTATAATATGAAATTTTTCAATATTTTTAAAAATATATTTTGATCAGATCTTAAAATAATGTTATGTAATAGATTCAGAAGTAAAAAAAATTTAAATTGAATTTCAAAGTATTAATTGTATTGTTTTTTAGTTTTATAACAAAACAATAGTCCATGATGCTTTAATTTTTATTCAAATTATCATTACTTTTTTGTTAATTTCTAATAAGCTTATCATACAATTTGAACTCAATTCATAATTATTCATTCAAAATAATTATAATGTAATGTTTTTATAATAAAATCTTAATTTACGACGATAAAGGTTTCTTTTTTTTGGTTAATTGTTAATTTGTAACAGTAAGTAAAATGCAAAATATATTTTAATATTATAACATAATGTTTTGTTTTTAATTTAAAGACATATTTTAACATAATATTTTAGTCAATCAATTTTAATATTGTTCATATTATGGAAAAAAAAAGTTTAAGAACGTGTATGTTTTTATTATTGATCTTATATCAATCCAGGAACCCAAATTTTGACTTTTCGACACGTTACTTTATAATACAAAATATTGAATACCGACTACGTTTTACACGCATAACCATATATTATTATATAAGTGTACCTTTATGAGTATGTAGGTACTGTGTTCATTTGGGAATGGTTGTGAAATCTGCTTGCGGTTGAATGTCGAGTGTAGTTGTAAAGGCATTACAAAAAAAAAACATTTTTTTTTTTATAATATAGTTTTATGAACCCCACGATGGAATTAGAGAAAAGTTTACTGATTCGCTATTCATATATTTGATGGCTAGTTATAATTTTATTACGCCGGGTGCACAATTCACTTTTTGTATTCGAATTGCGCGCTTACGTCCCGTACGTGCCTGGGGATGGTGGGGGCGAGAAGATAAGTTTTCCGCGGACAGACTGTATTTCACCACGTCCGTATATAATAATATAATACATTGAGAAATAATAATAACGATGATAACAGTTATAACAACAATAGTAGGTAATAATAATAATAATAATAATAATAATGATGTTGATTATGATGAGAGAACAAGAACAAGAATATGAAGGATACGAAGAACAAGTAAAAGAAGAGAAGTCGATGGAGGACGATATTGTGTCGTAGGATGGCTGGGCGGACGAGGACCAGTTGTACGAGTGCGGCGGGGAGCTCTTCCGGTCGTCCGGGTCGGAGGCGAGGCGCTTTCATCATTTGAACAGCACTCGCCGGAAGCTGCGCCGGAAGTCCTTGTTGAATATCGTGTAGATGACCGGGTTGATGGCCGAGTTCATGTAGCCCAGCCAGAAGGCAATGGCAAAGGCCTGTGGTGGTATGTAGCACACCGGACATAGTGGCGTCAGTATGTACATGAAGAAGAACGGAAGCCAACAGGCGATGAAAGAGCCCATGATTAGGCCGAGGATGAGCGTGGCGCGCTTCTCCTTCTTCCGGGCGATGCGTCGCTTCTCGCGCTCCGGGTCACGTGGCTTGGGCCGTGGCAGGCACGGTACCGGGTCCACGGGCGTGCCGCCATGCGACGCGTTCGAGACCCCGTACTGATGGTGACCGTCACCACCACCCCCGCCTCCCCGGCACGCCATGGACACCTTGCCCGTGTCCAGTATGTCCCGCTTGGCCTTGGCTGACGCCGCCTTGGCCGACTTGCGGCCGACGCCGAATATCGGCTTGCACAGCCTCGACTTGACCGGCTTGACGGCGCCGCACTTTTGCACGTTGCCTGAGTCGGACGACGACGGTTCTAGCTCGCTGACCATGTCCGTGTCTACGGCCACGCTGGACGCTCGGCACCGGCCGCCTCCACCACCCAGGTCGCCGTTCACCGTCAGCCGGCGGCTGCCCTGCGTGGTGAACACTTTGAGCGTGTCTTTGTCGCCATCCTTGCTCACGTCACTGGTGCTCGCGTCGCTGGCGTAGTCGCAGGCGATCACCGGTAGCGTGGTGTTGACCGGTGTGGCCGGCGGTGACCGGAACGCGGTCAGTGGCACGCCGGCCGGTGACGGCCGAGTGATGAAGCTGGTCGTCTGCGACACGGTGGACGGGCTCTGCGCGGCAGCCGCTGCTGCTGCCGCCGCCTTCGCAGCCTTCGCAGCCCCCTTCTTCGGCTTTGAAGGCGGTTTCCGGATGCCCCTCCGCGCCCGCGCCTTGGCCGCAAAATAAATCCGGATGTACACGAACACCATGATGCATGACGGTATGTAGAACGAACCGAGCGCCGAGTATATTCGGTAGCCCAAGTCTTCGCTCAGCTGAAACACACAAAAAACCAAACACGGAAGTGTCGATTATTTTCGTTGAGTTCATACATTGTACATTATATCATATATTATGGGTAAATAATCTATACAGTATCACATTATATTATAATTATAATATATATATATATTATAAAATAGAAGCCCATTTTTCTTATGCACTATTTGTATGCATATATCTCTAAAAGTACTCCAAGGATATTAATATTGTTTTCACCAATAGATCGATCAAGTCAAGGTGAAGGTTTTAATATATAATTTGTCTTGGAAAATTTTATTGGGTGGCGAACAATAATAACAATGTATATATATGAATATATAAAATATGAATGTTTATCTGTATGTCACCGTCCTAAACGGGCAGACCGATTTTATGAAATTTGTTGTGTTTGTTCGAGTGGTCTCCTGGGTTATTTAGATGCACAATTGGACCAGGTAGGTGCAACCCGAAGAGTTGCTCAAACAATTAGAAATAATTACTATAAATTTGTTTTTTTTTTTGTATATTGGTTGCTATTGGTTAATCATGCAGATCAGGTACAAGCATGCATTAAATCGAATTTTCGCACATTTGTGTCTGAGTTACCGCTCATCGGCGTGTCCGCAATCTAAGACGAGTAGCTGCTACTTGCAGTGCCGCGCTAGGGGAGGACAAATGTGATATACGTATGTCCAGGGCCCCGCGCTTGTTAAAAGGCCCCGCGATTTTTAATTATCATCTTAATACCGTGAAACACATTGACATTTTATATTAAGAAATTATAAATCTATAAATTTATTGTTCTATACTACACATGTATAATATTAATATTATTCCAATCATCAGTTATTTGGAAAATGATATCTAAGTTTAGCCATAGTATAAAGTAAATTGTTATCGATACGACGACGAACGAAGGAGTAATATTTTGAGGATACTCGAGGATTTTAGGAGTATGTACTATAATTAATAGTATAAATATTTATTATCTCTATAGTTATTGTTTTTTCTGTTCTTTGTTTGGAAAAGCTTTCCGAGTATTGTCGTATGCCCGTATTATAGAAGGGGCGAGAGTCAGTCTTGTAAACAATACTTTTATTTTGTATTCGGAATACATATTCAAATAAATGAGAACTAAGGTATTCAGAATACGTACTCGAATAGTTCTTAAAAAATATAGGTATTCAGAATACATATTCGAATACTTTTTAAAGTATTCGAATACTATTAGAATATTTTTTTTCACAACTAGTTTTTGTCAGTTTTTGAATGGTTGGTAATTAACATTTGTTAATTAATAATAAATTATAAAAAAATATTAACGATATTAATATTGAATATTTTGATAATTGAAGCGACTAAAAGTTTTTACAAAATCCTTCGTATCGTATGATGAAATTTGTTTTTCTTCATCATGTAAAAACAAAAAATTAACACGTACTAGACACGAGTCGATTGGAGGGGTCCGGACCCCATGGACCCCCCCTAAATACGTTACTGTATTCGAATACCTTACAATACTGGCAAGAGCTATATTCTTTAAACATTTATTTTATTATCTAATATTATATGTTCAACATTTGAGTATTTGACTGCAATCCGCTTTGCACCTTACAATATTTTTTCAAAAATGTCTGCATAATATCATAAAAGTAAGTTTTCATTTTATGAAATTATTATTACAATTTACTATTTAGTTTAGGTACAGTATAGCCATATTAAATGATATGTACCTACTGCATGCTTATCTAGTGTATCAAGATTAGTTTTAATGCATTTTATTTCTTTTTTATTGATGTTTTCATAAGTTGTAATATTATTAAAATAAATAAAAACTAATAAAATAATAAGCCACCCACGAATTTATTAACTTTTCATTTTCAACATTATTTTATTATTTGTAAATAATTTTTTGTTAGCACATTATCATAAAAAAAAAAGGATAAGAATAGTAACAGGCGATTTTTACCCCTGTATATTTTTACCCCTCCCCGGTAAAAATATCCTAGGTTTATTTTACCCCCTGTAAAAATATACTAGGTTCATTATTTTACCCCCGGTAAAGTTATCTAGGATAGTTTTACCCCCCCCCCCCACGGTAAAAATATTTGAGGGTATTAGAAACCTGCGACACCGGCACTTGACATGCTGTCGTACATTGTCCGCTATCCGAAGTAGTCAGATTACCTACCAGGAAGGCTGAGTTGAACCTACTGCAGTGAGTTACACCCAAAAGGAGTTTAAAAATCACAATTTTTTAAGAATTGTCAATTTTACGGGAAACGAAGTGCGCGGGATTATCTAGTATTAAAATATAATAAGAATTTCGTTTTATGTCAGATAATTTACCACGGTGCACCTACTCGTGTTTATAAAAAATTCATAAAATACATAGTAATAAATAATATATTATTATATAGGGTAAAAAATAATTTTTCAACTTTCAAATACAAAATACTTCGCATTAGATTAATATGCTGAATAATATGTCATAATAATATCATTGTTATCGTCACGCGATCCGGTCGTCCTTTGCCGACCGAATACCCACTGAGAATGTATATTTTTTGCAATGACAGAAAACTTTCGATTTGTGGAATAAAGAGCGTGTGTTGCACAAGTTTTCTATGATATTGACGAGTACAGCACGAATACTGTTTGAATATCGCAGTTATCTGTATAAGTTTTCGTCGAGCGAACTCGAAGTTTTCACGGAAAGAGAGGTAAGGACGGTAAGGTAAACTATCCGGGATATTTTAACTGGTAGAAAGTATATTGTATGAACTAAAATTTTCCACCTGATACAGATAATTGAAATTTCCATACCAAGTGTCTCAAAGTATTGCTGAATACAGGTGGTTTTATTTCAATTTTAATAATAACTGTTGAAGAACGAACAATTTATTTTGAATTTGATCGAATGAGTGCTCCAAACAGTGAACTTAGTTCAAGTAAAATAATACCATATCTAATGATAAATAATATATATATTGCCTTCAAACGAGATCAAATTAAATCTTTATTTCGAATAAAAAAATTATAATTTATAATCTTGAAATAGTTATAATAAATATTCCCTAAATTGATCAACTATTTATTGTAAATGACATTCATAATAATATTATATTACAATGGTATTATATTATATCTTAAGTATATATAATTACTTAGATTAGGTTTCACCTTTGATGGTTAGTTGATGTTCTGATAAAAATGTTATCCGGGACAATATTATAGTTAGTTGACTAAATGAAGAGTGGTTATAAATTAGAAAAACTCTTTATAACACATCGTGCTGAACGGCGTAATATGTAGGCAAATATACAACTTTGATGTGTTGAAAATATTTTTAAGTATTCATTTTACTATTTGGGTATCGATACAATAATAATTCAAGTAACGATATTTAAATATCATATTTGAATACAAATATATAATACATATAATATACAGTAGAACCTCGATAAGTCGAACCTAATAGTCAAACTTAATAAGTTGAAATAAATCCGCTCCCTCGAGTAATGTAACTAAGCTAACGTAACCTTATAGTAAGTTAAAAACCTCAACTAGTAGAAAAATTAATTTCCTCAAATTTCGACTTATCGATGTAATTTATTTATGTTTTTTCACTGGATAACAACTTAACCTTACTCCCAATATCCAAGCCTGGCAAGTTAATGAAAATTTTAACTGAGTTAAGTTAAGTTAATGGAAACATTTTAAAAAGTTTAAAGTTAACAGTAACCTAATTTTTTTTTTAACTCAGTTAAGTTAAAGTATATGAACATTTTTCATTTAAACTTATTAATAGTTAAGTAATTTTTTTTTTTTCATAATACGAAAAACTTCCGATAAACGGTCACCTTATGTACTGGTCAATTTTTTGGTCCCGTCGAGTTTTATCCTACATCTGTCGGACGGTCCCCTCTAAATAGCTGGTCAATTATTACGACCCTTTGGTGACCGTTCTATATGGAAAGTTCTACTGTATTTATATAAATACCCAGTAATATGGTCTAAAATAATAAAAATCATAAATATTATTGAACACATGAAATAGCCAATAGCTTTTCTATACATAGGTAGGTACTGAATTAATAGAATAATTCTACCTAGATACCCATAATTATTATATAGTAGGTACACAATTCACACAAATCACTGAAACGCGGTATTGTAAATCCGAAATCGTGTGTTGCGTCTGCGTGCTGATAGAGCCGAGAACGAAAAGTGAACCCATGTGGGCCATGAATATTTTGTCTAGTGACAATATTGACTGTTTATAAATATAAACATATGAAATATAAATGTACATGGGCATAACCCAATTAGTTTTAATTTAAAAATAACCTATTTATGCCGAAAATATTTTACATTATGTTCTTCAGAATTGTACATTTTTGATTTGTATCTATATCAAAATAATAAGGTAATAGGTTTATCATATTACTTATTACAGTTATTAGTTATTAGTATTTATTAATTATTATTATTACAATATGCCCGTATGCCGCTGTATGGTACGGTATATCTTTATATATACGATACACCTCTATGTTATAATATAATTGGCTATTGGCTATTGCATATTGCTATATCTATATGTATTTAATCGAGTTATTTTTCTTGAAAAATTCTGGTTAACGGAACAAGAAATTAATTTAACTATATATTTTGTAATTTCCTATTCTAATAAATGGTTATGTAATATCAATAATAATTTTTTTTTTATTATATTTATTATTTAATTATTTATAAATTAACTTAACTTGAATTTGATTAAAAGTAACTCGTTATTTATTAAGTTTATATCAATTAAAATAAGTTAAGTTAAAAATTAAGTTAATGAAAATTAAATTTTAAAAAGTTAAGTTAAAAGTTAAAATTAACTTAACTTTTAACTTAACTTTTAACTTTTTAACGCGTTTATGCCCAGGCTTGCGGCAAT